TTTTTCTTTCTTTCAGTTTGACCAGATTTTTCGAAATGAAGAAGTTCTGGAAGTTATTGAAGGTATGACAAGTGTAGCTATATTTATTAGGGACTGTTCATTTTTTACAAGCATGGGGGAAGGGGGGGAAGCTAGTGGTATTTAAGGGGGGCACGTAAAAAATGTAAGGGGGGACAACCCCAAAAAATAATGAGCTAAATAGAAAATCTATTGCTATATAAACAAAGCTCGGCTTTCCCTTTGGGAAACATCGAGACTCACCGATCACGGGATAACAAAACTGTTCCCCTTGAGACCAGTTCGATTTCATACATGTAAASATTTGCAGTAGCCACATGCGATCGTTGAGCGCCAATATTTGATATTTTTCCTGTTTCCATAAGGAGCCAGGTAAAAAAAAAAAATCAGGTTGGGAAAAGGCCAATACATTTTTTACTTACAATTCAGAAAATCCCACCAACCCTCCCCTTGCCCGTCAAAAATATTATTCAGTGAACGTTCCCTTAGATTAAACTCTGTGAGAAAGAATGCCGAACGTGTTTGATCATTGGGTTCTCTTTATTGCGTAGATTCAATCCCAAGGGCATCCATAGTAACCAACACGTACAGTCTTCCAATGCCAAGTATGTCTAGGCGAGAGTGCTGTTTACTAAGGTGTTGGATACCATCCTACCTCACCAAGGACAATACCTGTGGTAAGTTTAAGTTGGTGGGTTACCTGTGGTACGTTTTTCTCGATGTCACTTGGRCTTCTAAGGAAGTTTTACAGGGTCAATATACCCTATCCCTATTGAGGTTTCGTACATAAACTACAACAATCCTTTTCAAAAACCTTCTCATATTCAATTGTTAAAAATTTATTCCTTTGAAAATACCAAGACAATAGTGAAAATTAGCATAACAAAAAGCTGGTGAAAAGGATTCTAGAAGTGTAGGTATAAAACGTCATCATTCTTGAAGTCTATACTTGGGTTTCCTGTAGTAAAATATTTAGGAAATATATGACCTTTTGAAGTGAATTACAGGATGACAATGGAAAGCCATTTTAATGCTACCGTATGTCGTATAATACAAACACTATAGCCATGCAACATGCCCGCTTCTAGTATTTGCGCTCCACCGTGTACCTTCTGTAAGTCAGTACCGTATGTTTCCTAGCCAGTGATATAAAAACCACTCTATCACAGTTTGTTCTGTATTGTTTATTGATAAGAAAACCTTTCCTCTTAAAGGTCTTTTCGTCACATCGGTTAACTATCCTATGCACAAACCCACAAAGGTATGTAGGTTGTTTTTACTCTCGTGTTGATCTATGTGGGACTACGGGATTGGCCTCCCTTTACACCTCCCCTATAACTTCCAATAACAAAAACGCTTCATTACGTTAAGTACTCAAATACGATATGATAGATAATGACCGGTGCCAAAAATCGAAATTGTCTACAAGGCAGGGATGAGCGGCAATAGAAACCCCTTCCCTCATGTATTTCAGAAATTAGTCATAAGTAGTACTATTTCTTACAAGTAGTATCGTATTTGTCTTCTATCTATAAAAGGGTTCCGTCAGAGTTCAAGTACAGCCGTCTGGATTCATGTTGTCTACAATAGAAAATAAAGGTACAGAACAGAACAGAAGTTTATCGCTCTTAAATATTAATTACATTTGGTGACAATRTATAGAAATTTAAATATAAGATAATTGCCATAATAAATATTTATAATAAAGCGATAAGGAAAATTACATTAATTTCTATTCATATCATTTGTGCATATGACAAGACACATACTAGGTAACTACTAATGAAACAAATTGGTTGGTCTATGAATCTGTGCGGTATCTTTGACTAGTAGTTTATCATAGGAAAAACGAAGGAAAAGAGACTCGTACAGATAAATAAAGCGAGGCAAAATGGAAAAATTCAGTTTTTCTGCAGATAGAACCGCTGACCTTGTTTTCGTGCCAATCGGTACTAGTGACCAGTCTCCCACGTCATTCAGTTCAACAAATATTTAAATACATCGTACGATAGAGCGTTTTCACATGACGTCACAGCCGCCATATTGGTTCATCTTTGACAATAAATTTGTTTTTAGTTTCTTCCCATTATGGCTGCTTTAACTCTCTAGGCACTGAGAGAAAACGCTTTATAGAAAGTTGATTTTAATTTTGATCAAACGATATTTTATGTTTGTTTTTTCATAGACGGGTCACGTCATACTTTGGTTAGCGCTCTGGGACAAATAGATCTTCAGGACTCACTACAGAGCATGCTAGAGGCGACTTTCAAGTCTGGTAAGTTGTTCATGATATGAGTCTTTGAATATTAGCCGTTCAAAGGTCGGGGGAAAACTGGGTCGAGTTGGCATTGCAGTGCATTGTGGGGCGTTTTAAGGGACATATTTCCAAGATGGCGTCTATTTTGTCCCCTAAAACAGCCCCAAAATGCACTGCAATGCCAACTGGACCCAGTTTTATCCTCAATCTCAGAATGTTATCCTATTTCTATTAACCATTTATTTCACTTTCCATTCGTAGGTCTTCTGAAAATTGGTCTTCGAACAGGTTTCGCACACATTAGTAATCAGATAGAAAAATATTACTCACTAATAAATAGATAGATTTTTAGATGAATAACAGATGTATATATATATATACACTTTCTCTCCAAAGACAAATATTCTTTCATTTATCTACTACTTGGAGATTTTAACCGATTTGGCGGCTATCTTGAATTCTATCGTTTTCATTGAGACATTAAGGGATGCCGAGGGATCAACTATTGGACAAGTATAGACTATACAGCAGTCGGGGTATTGATGGGTTGCAAGCATTTCCAGAGAGTCAAAAGACAAAAACATGGCGGCCATTGTGGTGCCGTTAACAATGGATGCTAATAAGAAATGTTTTGTAAATGGCACCAACATGGCCGCGATGACGTAACGTGCAATCGAATAATATATTTTTTATCAATTTACGCTTTTTAATGAGAAGCACACCGAAAAAGCAATTAAAGTTTTTGATAGTTGGAACAATAAACACCAAGATTTCAAATTATTTGCTCTATACATTTTCTACATTTTCCCCCTCGGCATCTTATAATTCAAGATGGCCATCACACCAGTAAAAAGATCTATTTAAGYGTAGCTAATATTCATCAATCGAGGGGAGCGGGATAAATCAAAGAAGTATTTTCTTAAGGTGGCTGGACCCCCTCACGCTTGACCGCTACCTTCCACTTTTGGAACGCTGGTACATAAACGTGTTTTATCGGATTGCAAATCTTTTTTACACATAAGTCACATAAAGATTGAATTAATGTTTGATACAGTTTTTAATGAGAACGGATGTCATAACACGTGATTATGATGAAATACTTGTTTTTGTTTAGAGAACAATTTTAGCCTTGCAGAGCGATCAACATAAATGCTTCGTACCACATAATTGTATACTAGATGCGCTCCATTAACTATGCACAAACTGAGAAACTGCACGGAAGGAAACCTAGTGCACGAAATGGTGGAGCTAGACCTTGGAATATTTACCGCAAAATTTGACAAATATTCGCCTAACGATTACGAAAGTAAAAAGTTTTCATTCATGAAGTGTAAACTTACTGGGAAAATAGCGCATTTATAATGCTTGGTTTGAAAATTTCTTTAAGTAACAGCAGCTTGATTTATAATACATTTCCACAAAACATACCATAGCATTAAAATGGCTTCCTGCATGCTATTTTCATATAAGTGTTTCGTCCAATCACTTCGCGGAATCTTGTGACTCGGCTTTGATTCTAAYCCTCCGAGTTTTAAGTGTGTTTTCACACCAGCCACTCTAAACTAAGAAACCAAATCTCTGCTAAAACGTTGGGACWTTGATAAAACTGAGTATGAATTTGGGTGGACAACCATCGTAAACCGCTATAATTTATCCCCACTGGTAGAGTCTTTCTTTAATTTTCCCAGAGAGAAAGAAGAGAAAGATAACGATTGTCAATGACGGAAAAATTAAAGTGGTCAAAGCTCGTAAAGGGGCGATTACTCGAAAAAATTTTCTCCGTAACTTGTCTCGCAATGGAGACGCAATGGAGACGCAATACTTGCCAACTTTTGGCAACAATTGCTACAACTTGTCTCGCAAAWTTTTTTCAAATTGCGCCTGTAGTTTACATGCTGCAATGCTCTATGCAACTTGTGTCGTTGCAGATGAAATTGCTGAATGTAATCGCGTCTTAAACGCGCAATGTGCATACACATTTTTATGATCATGGTTGCTCTCTTTTTTTCTTCTTCTTTTCTTTCTTTTTTTTTTTTTTTTTTTTTTTTTTTTT